GTTTCATTTCCATTATTTATTGTCCTACATAATCCTGAAGAAAATATAATAAATAATTTATCATATGTTTTCTTTCCATTATTTTCTTTTCCAAAATAAACTTCGAGAAAAAATAATAATTAAAATTTGTCATTTAGACCAAAGCTAAAACCCCACGACATCCTGTGGGCGATCCCTTGTAATAATCATAAACGGACAAAACTTACAGAAAAATAACATGGTTATGGTCTGATTGTAGGTCAATCTTGCTGAATTTCAAAACCCAATAGAAAAAGAAGCTCACCAACCTTTTATTTTTGCCTCTCAATCCAAAGGAAAATTGGGTTTCGAAACAAAGAAAAAAAAACTGGTTTGATGGATCGAAGATTCTTGTTCTTAATTTCGCTGTGTTTACTTGTTCGATTTTCGCATGGGTACTTTCATTCTTGCTCTCATGTCTATGTGTCTTATTCGTCATTATTGTAGAATGTCGATCAAGGCTTAACTAATTTTATTGTGTGTATGTGTGTTTTAATTTATTTATACCTTTTTTGGGGTTTACAGCAGAAAAGACTCGATTTTGAGACTGCCCACTGATGCTGCTTCGACTTCGCTTGATCCAACCCGCATCACCCAGTTATCGTGGATTCCCAGGTTTTATTTTTATCAAAGTTTGCATCTTTTACCGTTCTTCTTTTTTCTGCGTGTTTATGTCAGTTTGTGTGATAATGAATGTTCATTTGGGCTTTTTGTTTGGTGTTGATTTTTACAGGGCCTTTTTGTATAGAAAGTTTTTGACAGATACAGAGTGTGATCATCTCATATATCTGGTTTGTGTTTTTTCTTCATCTCCTTGTGTGTGTGTGTGTGTGTGTTTGATATATAGAAAAGGCCTAACTAGTGCAACATTGTGTTTTTGTTGTACTCTTGTGCTTCCCATTTGTCAATTGTTTGATTTATTTTTATCTATGTTAATTTCTGATTCATCATGATGAAGTTATTGTTAATTTGGTGATTACCATCTGTGATTAGGCCAAAGATAAGTTGGAGAAGTCAATGGTAGCTGATAATGAATCTGGAAAGAGTGTAGAGAGTGAAGTCAGGACGAGTTCTGGCATGTTTCTTTCGAAGGCTCAGGTCAGCAAAATTTAGACACTAGTTTCAAATTGATGCAATGGTTCTTTAAATGTTATTAAATCTGGTATGGAAAATTCCCTTGTTGTGAAATGGATATGTGATTTATAGCCTTTTTCCTTTTATTTAAAGGCATTTGAGTCTGTTTGTGGTTGCTGAACAGTTGTTTGATTCCTTTTTATGTGGGGATTTTTGAAAATTTTTCAACTCCTCTTTTCTGTAGGTGAGTGCATCTTTAATCCTTATAATACCTTCTATGAAGTCCAAAAGGAAATGGTTTTGTTCTAAAAGTAGGATTAGGCGTGCAATTATTATTTTTGATGCATGAGTGTGAACTGTTCGAAATGATGAATTTGGCACGCACTGGAAAGAAAGCTACATTCTTTTACAATCTTGGAATCTCTTCATTGATTTGAGAAAAATTATAATTATGTCTTCTAACTTGGGCTGGTACTCCATTAACCAGATCACTATGATTTAAAAAATCATAAATAAGTACAGGATTTGTGTGATGCATCTTTTTGTTATTGGCAATTTCTAATGTTTGTTATTGGGTTATTTTGTCGTGTATATGGAGTTCATCATCACTATGAGCACTTAACATTATGAAAAAACTTTGGACTTAAGTATTAAATATCTTTTTTTTTTCACATTTGTTTTATGGGTGATGGGTCGGAATTATGTGTCGTATAAGCTTATTTCTATGTAGATTATCCCATATAGAAATGATCATTATGTTGCATAAATAAGCTTTTATATAATATCCTTAGCTCCCACTTTCATGGCTTGGAAAACGACTAATTTCTGAACCAAGCTAGAAGATGAGTGAAATTATGAATATGAATGTTTTTTCTTTTTACCCTTTTTAGGATGATATCATTGCAAATATCGAGGCAAGAATTGCTGCCTGGACTTTCCTTCCGATAGGTACAATTATAAACCTCCTTCGTTCATTAATGTTCTACATCATT